GGAAACGCGAAAACGGCGTTTCAAAATCTTCCCACTCTGAAGGCTGAATAAAAAAAAAGATTGTTTACAGACCCCCGAAACGCCGGCTTCGTATGGATGAGAGGCTGGTTTGGTGAAAAGTTTGTGCGTTTAGGCCAGGGTTCGGCTTCGTTGGGACGGGGCCTTAGGGACCCTATTGCTGACATTTGGTTGGCCCCCTACGCAATTGTAGACTAGGATGTCTCTTTGCACATGTAATGGTGCGGAAAATTCCTCTTAAACCCTTCTGATACTGCCCATATTTATACCGCAACACATGGCAGATTTCAACATGATGGTGAGCCGTTTAAACACGGGTTATGGGTTATGATGAACTGACTGAACATATTATGTACGTAACGTGCATGCAGCGTGCAAGACATCACATCACATTAGACTAAAACCAGAGAGTAGATTAAACCATAACCAATAATGTTGCTTATGGGCCTGTTGTTGTGTCTGTGGGGGGTGAGAGTCAGGTCCAGATTGGTAATATTACTTTTTTTCATAAACTGGAGCAGAGAGGGCAGGAAGCAACAAATAAGGTCATTAGGCCACAGATGATGTCATATTTTCTGACCTGAATGTCCACCAGAAAGAACCACAGCATGCAGTAGATGCAGGTGAAGATCCAGACCCCTGCTATGATCCGCTTAGCCCGTGACACCGTGCAAACCGTCTGAGCTTTGATGGGGTGGCAGATCGCGATGTACCTGCAGGTCAGGAGGAAACACAAGCTCAGAACATCTGCCAACGAACCGCTGCAGCAGCAGAACCAGAACTGAGCCACGGAGAGGGAGGTCACATGGCCAGGAGATGTTTGTTTCTAATCCTTCCTGATTGGATCTGAGGGGAATCAGAGTTTAATCCATTTTCTGGTTCTTCTCATCACCAGGCTCAGCTAGAAACACAAACAGGGATGAAACGGAGCAAATGTCTGAAAATCAAAGCGTGAGAACTTCAGACTTGTTGGGGGATCAAATAAACAAAAAGAAATAGATTAATTATTAAAAATATCATGTATTGTATGTATGTATCATGTATCACATAAATAAAATGCACAAATTAATTACAACAAAATACATAAAAAATACTTTTAGCTTATTTATCCAAGTATTTCTTCACTTTAACATTTATTTTACTTAAGATATCCAATCTATCTTATTTATTTGAAGTATTTATTTCTAACTATATTTATTTTTGTCAGTTGATTTATGTATTTTTACCCAGTTTCTTTGTCTTTTCTGTCTTCTTCTCATGTGTTTTGTTTCTCATTGAAGCAGCTGCTGACATGCTGCAGCTTTATGAAGGCAGCAGAGATGAAGCGCTTTGCATTCAAACTAATCACCTTTAAAATCTGCATCTTGGTCTTAAGTTGCCAACAGGGAAGTGATTTTCCTAAATGAAAAGGAGGCTGATGCTTCTGTGTTTTTGTAGAACATTAAAGGTTTTTTGTTTTGAATGATGAGAGATCGCATCAGTTAATGCAGATCTCAGTCTGAGCGACGATAGTTTGGCTTTTATTACAGTTTTTTATTACAGCTGCGCCACCAGAATAACATTTCATCAGAGCATCACCAGTCACATGTGATCTGTAGCACAGTTTTAGTTTCATTGCTCTCGAGTCAAAGGCTCAAACCACGAGTTCGAGTTCTAGTCTTTAGAGTCCAACTCAAAGTCTTTTTGTTTGTAAAATGACCCTCAGAAGAGGAGATACCGACAGCTCAGAAATACTCCACACAATGTGGTTTTAGCAGCAGAACAACAACCAACCCCTTAAAGACCGACTCACCCCCAAATGAACCAATAGTGTTTCAACAGATGCCTTTGTGCTATGTACATGCCACAGGCATTAATCTGTTGACATCCTGCTAAGGTGTGTCTAAAACCGTCTGTTTGGCGCCTCCGTCAGGTTAAATAGGGGTTACTGCATCTGAAAGTGGATATTGGCTGTTACTCTCTGCTGGCTCCTCCTCCCACAGGCAGTGGTTAACATACGGGCCAACAATAAGTTAAATGGCTTTCTATTAATGGAGAAGTCCACTCTTTGAATATGAAATTATAAAATACTGCTCAATAAACGATAAGTGTCATTTCATTTGAATGTGCTTTACTGGAGGAATCCATGTTTGTCAAAGAACTCTACTGCCACCTACTGGTTTGTGACGTCACGGTGCGGTATCGGCTGTTGATCAAGTCCCAGTGCTGTATCTGGTGTTTGTCACAACGCGCTATTATCCAAGTCATCTTGAAAACATTCTTCTTTGAAATGTTGGCTACATATTACGGGTTTTTTCTCTGGCCAGAAGTTCGATGGCAAATCCTCCAATAGTTAATCGGAAAGGATCATGAATCGGAAAGGTGAAACAACTAATTTTTTTTCACTTTTAACCGATGTATTATGGAGCGTAGGTGGAAGTTCAATTGAATAAACTGATTACTCACCTTCATCCGCCTACGACACAGCCAATCAGCTTCCAACCACACCTCCACAAAAGCCAATCAGCATCCAAAGTTCATCTTAAAAAGCCTCCAATTCGCAACTCGTCTGCTACCCAGTGGGCATGCGGTGGTTGCTCTGTATGACTTCATTCAGATGACCCCGTTTCAACCCATTTCCAGCCCCTCCTCCACCATCTTAGCTAAAACTTCATCAGAGTTTAATTCCTCCCGGACTCTCACTGCATTCCACGTCTCATTTCAACCAGTCCGGCAGAAGACCGCCATGTTGAGCCTGGTTCTGCCAAAGGTTTCTTCTCTTCCCAATGGGGAGTTTTTCCTCTCCACAGTCGCTTCATGCTTGCTCATCCTGGACAGGTTCTCTCCACCTGTTATATCCAAACTGGACTTCCATCTTCCAGGTCCTGAGTGAAGCTCTAGAAACAGCTCATGCAGTCCACTGGATTGCTCCATAAAGCTCAGCAGACCGTCTCTCCAACCAGCAGTCTACAGACTGACCAACTTCATCCATCTCCACTCCACCAGTTTCAGGCCTGGGGGGGAAACAGCCCTATTATTTACTCCTGTTCATGCATATCTATCAAAATTCAGCACCATGTTTCCTGCCGAGGAAAGCACCAAAGACTAAGTAATTGTATCAATAAATTTCTTCTAATAGTCTTTTTTCTCCGTGTGAATTTTTTAGATTGAAATAAGATCCAACCTCCATGCACGTGGGCATTGTCAGTTTCACTATAGCTCTGGTGAATTTCAATGGTGAAGTCCTCTGGAAATCTTCAATAATTGTTGTTGATTGCAGGTGTGTCTAGTATTTGCTATTGATTTTGCTTGTAAAGTGGGGGGAATGGCTGACTGCACCATGACGTCACTGCTAGAAGATGTAAGGAGTGAGATGTTGCTATATTTGGGCAAAAATGGCCGTTGTTGGACTCCGTTATCGCAACGGAAATTATTGTTTTTATTTTTTTACTAATAAACGCTAAATCCTTTGGTTATTCCTAGCTGACCAGACTTCTCCTTTAATGGGGAAAAAAACAGTCAGCATCCAGAATAGTCTTACATTAATTCAGTGTTAGTTTGTCACATGACCTGAAAGCTGCTGGAAAAAAACATTCACTTTATAGGAATAATTAAAATAATGGAAAATGCATCAAAACTTACTAGTCTAAATTACCAAAATGGCCTTAATTTGGTGTCATTGGGTCACAAGACATGGAAGTTGTTCAGATGGTTTATAGGAGAACCAACCTATGAGGGAGGAGGGTGCAGGAGCAACCAGACCCTCTGAGCCAGGGGGACAAACTGGTAAAGAACCTTGCCTCCTCCCTCCATCCTTCTCTGGTGAATATGGTGAAAGCGGAGAGATCTAGCACCCATCGTCACGTTTGGGTCACTGTCAATCACAGCTCAGACCAAGCCCCGCCCACACAAGCTGTCCGTTCCGCGGTTCTACAGACAAGACCTTTTATTGAGAGGATTGTGAAATACAGCATGTGGGCAGAAGTGTCTGTTTGCATTTAAAGGCCTTTCTGGATGAATCCCAACTTAGAGAATCTCCAGTTATTTTCTGACTTTTGCTTTTTTTAATGACCATTAAAAGAGCCTTTGAACATCAGCTCACTGAAATGCAGAGGAATATAATGAGAGCTGAACGTCCTGCTGAGTGCCATCCACCTCTGTCCTCCTGTTTGGGTCCTCTTTATCTCAGACCCTGACATTTCTCACGCTGTGCAGAGCCCACTTTACTGTCCTCCTCTGCGACCCTCGCAGCGTTTCGCCCACAAAACCAACCACTCGCTGCAAACATTCAAAAGAGAGAAATAAATGTCAAGATCAGCTCTGTCTCACCTCTCCACAGTGAACGCAGTGATGGAGCATGACGACACGTTGATTCCCAGGTATTGAAGGTAGGTGATCCCCAGGCAGCCGGCATTTCCATAAATCCAGGTCCCTGTCAGGCTGTCAGACACGTTGGGGAGCCCTGCTGCCACCAGCACCGTTAGGTCAGCTATGGCCAGGCTCACCAGGTAGCAGTTGGTGGGCGTCCTCATGTGGCGGGTCGTGAACACCACAAGGACCACCATGATGTTCCCCACAATGCCCACACAGCACACCAACAGGACCAGGAAAACAGAAATGGTCTTATACTCCAGTGAGTCGGAGACAGCGACGGTGGAGCTCAGGGAGATGTTGGTCGGGGTATCGATTCTGGAGCTGAAGTTTTGGGTCATCTCTGCCAGTTTGTTAAGCAGCAGCTAAGCTCATTTAATCTGAACTGATTGAGAAGATTGGGAAACCCAAAGTGTGGCCATCTGACCTTCTCACGTGGATCCAGGCTGGAAGGTTCTGGTTAGGAAGAGGAACAAGCTCCAGTAAATTCTGAGTAGAGCGATTCCTGTTCCTCTCTGGTCTCCGGTATGAAAGTCCCATTCAAAGCAGCTCTTCAGTCTAATGCAGAGAACCCGATTTATCCCAGCACTTCTGAACTTGTCCCAGTCCACAAAGGAGTCACCTGAAAACAGAAGCAGGGTTTAGTTAAAGCAGGGATCCTGTCCTGCATATTTTGGTTCTCCAGAGTCAGCCTAATGACATCATCAACTGACTTGAATGTCTTCAAGAAAAGACACATTTATAAGTTTCAGGACCTCAAGGACTGGAACTGGGGAACTGGGAGTTAAAGGGACAAAAATTCCTAGAATCTTTCCTAGGATATCCTAGAATTTCTAAAAGTAGAATGGGAGGCAGATCTTTTAGTTATCAGGCTCCTCTCCTGTGGAACCTACTACCAGTTTTAGTCTGTGAGTCAGACACCCTGTCTACTGATAAAGCTTATAGTTAGAGTGGCTCAGGTTATCCTGAGCTATCTCTATAATTATGCTGCTATAGGCTTAGACTGCTGGAGGACATAGGGACCCCTATTTAATCATTCTGCTTCCTTCTATCTCTATTCTCCCATTCTACAGAATCTGTTAGTTCAATCTCTCCTTCACCTCTCTCTGCTTTTCCTTATAGTTGCTTTAT